CAAGGTAAAAGGTCATCAGTGGTGAGACACTAATTGATGCAATATTTGTTTTAAGTAGGATTTCCTTAGGATTTGATGTTAGTATCTTTTAGATTTTATTTTGTTAGACATTTTATTTTAATTCCTTAGAATTGAATGTTAGGATATTCTGAGATTTGATCTTATCATGTTTCCTTAGGAGTTATCTTTTGTTTTCTTTAAATAGATGTGTAACTGTAAGCCTCGTTGAGAAGGCAAACTATGATTAATGAAAAGAAAATTTCCTGAGATGTGAAATATTTGTTAGCATGTGAAAGTGCTAATGTTATGACAAGTCAAGCGTCCGCGTGTGAAGCCCTTCTTCTATCCTAGCCCACCAAATACAATACCCTTCAATCAAATCCTCTCCTCGAAGAATTCCCCGTCCGAAATCATCAAACGAACCACCGGGGTGGGGGAATAAAGTTACTGTTCATAGACGTGTGAAGCCCTTCTTCTATCCTAGCCCTCCAAATACAATACCCTTCAATCAAATCCTCTCCTCGAAGAATTCCCCGTCCGAAATCATCAAACGAACCACCGGGGTGGGGGAATAAAGTTACTGTTTATAGACGTGTGAACGGTAATTTTACTGCCGTTCATTCGACAACTAGAGATCTGACACCACCCGCCTCCTCTGATGATGCCGCAATCCGTCGAATCCGACTATGAACCCTGACGACGATGTCCGTTCAAGCATCATCGTCGAGGAATCTCCTCCAATCGACCCTCAATGAGTTATCGACGACTTAAAAATCTACCCGCTCCTCCTTTCAGATCCATATTAGATTCATGTACGCGTCAAAGTACACAATATTGAGAACCTCATACTTTCTGATCGAATCCCGATTGGCGTCGAAGGCAACACATCCGGGAGCCTTCGAGTGTTGGATTAGAGCCCCCGCCTCGGTCCGCATCACTAACCCTTCACATACATTTATACATATAACGTGCTGTCAGTATCTTATGGTACGTCAGTAATATCTAAGATTTGATGCCATATAAAAGAAATTAATAGCATCTTCCGTACATGCCTATTGAACCAACCTATCTTAAAACATAGCTAACGTATCTTACAACACGATTCATAGCGTAGGATACTTAATATGCTACAATTAATTGACTAAAATAATAAAAGGATTTCAAACATATAAAGCTTTTTAAGTTTAATTAAGGGTTACAAGCATACAGTAGTCCTTTACCAAAAGAGCACATAAACCTAAGATACATACCTGTGAATAGGAATATGTACAAGTTTTATGATCCTAACATCAACCTAATTTTGTTTCTCCACTCACCATTGAGAACACAACAAATCTCCAGACCCCTAAGTCAGACAAGCAACTTGCGCTCGGTCTTGAGCCTTCTAATGCTACACGATAAATATTTCGAACAACTATGGATCAATAATGTGAACTTTATTACTTATGGTCTACAATTGGAAAGGATGCAAACAAAGAGGGGGGAAAAAGAAATATATAATTGATTTGCCTATCATATTTGGAAGTGATGATGAATACACTGCTGAGAAAGCACCTTGCCTATTGGAAGATAGGTCTTGGATGGATGTCTGTCAGTGTTTTGAACTTGAAAACAAAATCTGCTACCTAAAAGGAAGGGAAGAGAAGATGCATATCTACCAATTTCTAGTTCAATAAAATTGTTGATCATTTATTGCAATTCCCAATTTTTGAAGCAGCAACAAGCTTTTTGGATGTTGATAATGAATGCGACCTGAAGACTCGCTGTGATTTCTGAAAAGAAAGGTAGGCGAAAGATGGCAATCTGGAGGATTTTGTGAAGCATGAAGAAGAAGATGAAGGTGAAAACACAAGGATAGCTTCTTGAAGATGTGATAGATCAATCACAAACATTTGATGTTAGATGCTTAGATTACGTTTTTAGGGTATATATAACCTGATTCTGCTATCATCTTCCAATTCTGCTCATCTTAAATACAATTTAATTATGCAGTGCCATTTTGATCAATATCTCTACAGTTGTGTTTGCTTTATTTACATGCATTTTCCATTTACACAAGAATTTAGCATTTCTTTTTTCCTTATCTATCACTGTTTGTTTTAATTTTATCCTTGATCTAGTGATATGTACTGCTGTAAACTTGACTACTACACAAGTACACATACATCTTTGTTACAGGCTATGTGATGTGGTACGTATGACAACAATGATAAATGATTATCCCTATTTGACAACATTGGGTATAACCATGACATATCTGTAGTTTCGGATTTGACAACCAACACATGATCAACATAATGTTGTGCCACAAAACAGACTTCCAAAACAATTTCTCAAAAATGAATTCACATGCCTATATAATTTAACCTTGCAGTATCTTAGAAACCAGTAACATCACTTCAAAAGAGAACTAAAATTTAGCAGTAAGAAATTAGAAGGCTGATAGAAGCAAATATAAAACAAGATGACTTGAAGTGGAATTACCAGGAATAGGCCGCAGAACTTGGAAGATTGATAGGCTGCAAAAGTTTTACAAAGTACATCTAAGCGTTAGCTTAGAAACAGCTGTTTCTCAGAAGTAATTACTTAACTTCTGGATAAAATTAACAGAAGAAATCCAATAATCATTGACAATCACAAATACTTTGATCAAATTAAAAGCTATAATCATAGTCTTTTAGCTGAAAGACAAGAAGTGTGATGCTTTGGCTCACCCTTGAACATGATGGAAAAATCTTTGTACCAGTAAAACCATGTTAAAGAGTTTGAACTCTGAAGAAAAAAAAATTCCAGCACATATATCCTTCACCTATACAATTAAGCATATTCGCATCTATGAATTTGTCATTGCATATATATCCTTTATATCTTAGGCTACCATCTCTAACAACAACTAACCTAATCCTGGATGCAGAAGAAAAGATTGACTTGGACATAAAAACCACTATCATTCGAATTATAATGAATATTTAAACTTTTAATAATGGTTTTCAATTTCAATGGCCATAATATTTAGGAGTAGAGCTAGTCTACTATTAATACTATCCAACATGCAGATACTATCAACCTCATTTTAATATTCGACATCTAAAAATTAAAATCCAAGTTGATAGGTGTGATATATTACATATGAACTACTTGGAGATAAAATTTCAAAGGATTTCGATGTGTTTTGAATCATGTATCAAGAGGTGAAAAATTAAGTGATTATGAAAATTCCGAAGCGTTGATTTTGATGTTATATAATACATGGGTTAATGATGTTGAAATCCATTGAATTTTTTTTGTAAGTAGTCCATGTGAAGTAGATCACATCTACCAGTTTGGATATTATTTTTCAAATGCCGAATTTTAAAATTGGGTTAATAGTATCCACATGTTGGATACTATTAATAGTAGCCTAGCTCAACTCAATATTTAGCATTCATGTTTCCTCTATGAAATTTTAAAGATTTGTATAAGCAATTGTTAGATGTATCTCCTACAAAGATATCACTTTTAACAGATGCACTCTTCCTTAGGATACTCAGAAGTTAACATACTTCACGCTCAACAGCAGGAGCGGAACCCAATGAGGACTAAAAGGGACCAAAAGGGCCTTCGCCCTACCTTGGAAATGGGATTTCATTGGCCCAATTGGAACAGGCCCAACCGGTTTGTTTCCCATCTTAATTCAAATTGCAATTGTAAAGTATTTCATAATTAATAGAGTTTGATTAGGATATGAGCCTCATTAGTAAGTTGTAAGTAAATGTTTTGAAGTGGTTCGATCTATCTAATAAAAAAATTCAATAGTTGATGGCTTGTGTCTTGCAGCAAACAAAAGAAACAAATAGATTTGCTGTGTGGTTGCTAAGAGAAAAAATGAATAGGATTTTTGCTTCTTTAGTAAGCAAATTAATTAGTACATAATAATTATTGTGAACACTATTTCCTATGTTGTACTTAAATCTTTGAAAAATGAATCTCTCCTCTCCTCTTGACCCCTATTCCCTGCCGTCGTAACAAAGCGCTGCTGAACCATGTGAACCATTGTGTGCTTCTTACAATTGTTTTAGTTTCAATAGTTATGTTGTTTAGTTTTTTGCACTCATGTGGTCATCTAATTCCAACTAAAAATAAAAGAGTAAAGAAGGAAATTGGTTAAACAATAATTTCATAAATTATAGAGAGTAAAATGTAAGATCCTCAGACTTTCTTAAACTCTTATGTAATGATGTTTAGATACCAACCAATCGTATAACAAGTTTTTATATTTTATTGTATTTAATTGTTAATTTTGTGACCCCCTCCAAAAAGGATTTTGGCTCAGCTAGTGTTCAATAAAATAGATATATTAGCTAGAGCAAAGAAATTCAGACTCCTTGAAGCTTAAAACACATTTATCTCTAATGATCTAGTTCTAGCAGTACATAGTACATCTCAAGAGTTCAAATTACAAATATATAAAACATGACAGGTTATAACTTTAGATGGATAAGCAAGCAACAGAATATTTTGGATTGGCATGCATCACAGTGTTGTCAATGTGTGAGGTGCAATGCAGGGCGCAAAGTATCTTTACGCACATATGCGCAAGACGCAATACAATGCGCGCGCCGAAGTGATGCGAGACGCACACCGCACAGATAATTTTTTGATGGATAAACAAGCACGAAAAAACATGTTTAGAAATTCACATAAAACATATGTCAAGATAAATAATATCTTACTACCAAATCACAATATAAGGGCTTAATTTCTACTAACACATCCAATATAGTGATAAAGTTCATAATTTTCAAATCAAATGTCAAATCAAGACTAATATCCAAGCACAACCAAAATCAAATGTCAAATCAAGACTAATATCCAAGCACAACCAAATAATAAATGAGGATTAGTTAGGATCCTCAATTGAAGGCTACTAAAAAGGCCTACTACATAGTGGTAAAGTTCATAATTTTTCAAATCAAATGTCAAATCAAGAGTAATATCCAAGAAAAATCAAATAATAAACGAAGATTAGTTAGGATCCTCAATTGAAGGCTATTAAAAAGGCCTATTGGAGTTTTTCTTGGGAAATGGGTTATCGTGTATAAAGACCCGATTGAAATGTTAACAAACAAAAATATACGAGATTATGTACTACATGCACCCTGCGCAAAGTCAGGATGCTTGCGAGGCGCACAAGGTGTCGTTGCATCAGATAGACGCTTCACCACCATCATGTATCGCAAGGCACATGAGGCGTGCGCCTTTGAAAACATCGATGCATCATATAAGGCCTAGAAGGAATGTGGACTTGAGAAGCATCATAGTTGAGTCTGGACACAATTTCCATGCCTGCAGAACTAGGGTGTTAATTTATTTTAGATCTTAGTCTAAGCATTGTATATAATTCCTAACATGAAGCCAATCGGTTTACGAAAGCTCTAATAAACTTAAAACTTAGCAGACAAGATGACAAATGCGGTGTTTGCTATTCAGAAATCGCTTCTATGCTACATGGGTATGGATATGGTAGTGACGGAGCCAGAAATTCTATCGGGCGGGGGGGCTAAGATATATAAGTACACTATGATTTGTTTCATCAAAAAAAAAAAGAATCAACTCTGTATGCATTTTTTGTTCAAAGATATTCACAATAGAAACCAAATATAAAAAAGTATATACAAGCGTATAAAACAAAAAAAGAAAGAGTACTACAAAATTTCATACAGACATGCTAAACCTTCCACTAAGTCAATTAAATTTTTTTAATTTAGAAAACATTCGCTTAGGTTTATCATTTTATCTCTTCATTGACTACACTTTTCAAGAACAAAAACAGGTATAATGAACTCCATAGTTGCAGAAAAGCAAAGAAAATATTAAAGGGAGAAGCCTTCATCTAGTAAAAAAACATGATTTTTTTCATAATAAAAATTTTACCCTTTGCAACTAATTCGAAATTTCTACGAAGCATTCAAAATCACAATTAATATAAACTCTTTTCACTGAAGTTACATCAAGCATTAAACTCAGATCCATAACGCACATAAAAACAAGTAAGTTTAATCCATAAAGAATTTACAAGATCTATAAAAAAATGTATCTAAAGGATATCATTTAGATCTTTGCAAGATAATTAGTTCACATAATAATCCAGAAATGAAACTTACAGACTTTGTACAAACATATATGCTATGTGATGTAAGTCTCTGTTAGTTAACCACTGCATAAGAAAGTTTCAAGCAGATGCAGTTGGTGAAATGATCTATTAATTTATTTGAAATGTAAAAGACTGAATTTGGCATAAGGGTATTTTTCACAGTACCTATATATGCTGGTGACAAGATAGCAGAAGTGCTTTTAGAATAGTTCACTTACAGCTTGAAGATTACATTTTTTAAGAAAACCACTATATATACTATACATATAGGAACTACAAAAGTTAGGGGAGGACAAGGCCCCCCAACCATGTATGTAGCTCTGCCCCTGGACATGAATGCATTTATGGGTGCATATACGAGATGACAAATTCGTAAAAGCTAGGAAATAGGGACACAACTATCTATATACATATTGAAATTAATAATGTACATGAGATCAATTTTGTTTTCTCATCTACATGTTATGAATACTAAAATTTACATAACTTTGTTTATTTTTCATTTATTAAGTAGATTATAAATTAGAAAACTGATTGTTTTTCAACTAGATATATGAATGACCCTTTAAAATCATCTTTAGAAGTATTGGAACCCGGCATGTGACCAACGAGTTACCAGAAGTAGACATGAAGTGTAAGATACACACAACGTTTTAAATATCGGCCAATAAACCGATATTATCAGCGATTTATCGGTTTTGGAGGTCTTCCGCTATGATAAGTTTGATTCTAAATCTGTTATCGTTTTTGGATGTTTATCGTCAATAATGCGGCGATAAAGTGAGTTATCGGCCAATATTTTTGGCCTAACAATCGCAATTATCAGCCTTTGGTTTGAGTTTTGATTTTGAGCAATGAGCACCTATTCAATGCATTTTAAACCCGACCCCATCTGAGTTTCTACCATAGGTTAGTGATTTCAAACATAATTATTTACATTTTTATATATTTATATTTCATTAAGTATGGTTGGATTACATATTAGAATATTATATTATGTATATCCCCGATATCCGCTATCCAATATGAATTTTGACCGTCCGATAAATCCTCGATAACTGATATTTAAAACCTTGGACACACATCCAAGAAATGCATGATGATTGTTTTAAACTAATACATGCAACATATAATTGAGTACACATCTGAATAAACGTATGCACACTTAACCATTGTCCAATGGTGTCCAAGAAGTGTTGGGTACGGAGCCTAAACGAGGTGTCGGGGTAACTTAGCTTTGACAGAAATATGCAAGATAAGTCACTTAAAGGCATACCTCTCGGCTGTTATCTCTGAGAATCGTTTGGGAGCCCATGTCATGAGCTTGTTCTCTACAATAAGTAAGCTTCCTTCATACTTCACGCCATTAACTGTAAATCCTGTGTCAGTGTACCTAGGAGAAAAGAAAACAGAGAACTTTATTGTAAAACAACAAAGCCTCAGAGAATAGTACGTAATATAGAAATCTCAGAAGAAGGCTAAGCATTAAGCAGCCAAGAAAAATATCTAGCTCAAAGATTATATTATCATAACAGGCTTATATTGAAAATGGAAGAAATTCATAGCTTAGAAAAAGATGGAGCAGTCAGTAATAAACTATTAACTACACAATATATAAACGATGGAAGACCATAAATACCTCATGAATCATCAACTGAATTTTTCAACAATGAGAACACTCAATAATGAAGTCTTAACCCTCAATCTTAAAGTTTCATCTTCATTCAGTTCTATGAAGGTCATTTCTTTTTATGTTATGAATGTCACTAATTTAAGCACGCAACAGAAGTTTGGATTGACAAAGATCAAGCACTTGAAATGTTATGAAGACAAAACAAATGAAGAAAGAAGACAACACGCCTTGATGATAAAACCTACATTCATTTGTGAAGGACAAGGAGAATCCATTAAATCTTCAAGGGGAGTACAAAACGTGACAACTTCTCACCTTAATCTCAAACCGTAATTAGAACTTAACTCATCAATGATTAAATAGAGAAGAACCACTAACTAGATGAACACCATTCTGCTCCATGACTCTCCTCAGTTGAATTACAAAACACTCATCCAAGTGCTCCTACTTATGAATAAAATAAGATCCGAAAACTTTCCCAGAAAAATATGATTGAATCATTATGTTTTTGGGAAACTTCCTAATAGATACATGTAGTATCTCAAAACAAACTCCTTTACATATCATCTCACTTATCGTTCTTCAATTTGAATTGGAACATTCTAAACTGAAAACAGTCTTTTGCTATCAATTCACTGAACCAAACTGAAAGCCCATCTACTTTTCAAGGCAGCAACTTAATCAGATCAATCGACCAGACAGTTAATTGGTTGATTCTCCATCCAATAGAAATTTGCAATTGAGAGTGGAGATTCAAGCTATAAACTCAATATTCACTTTAATTTAAACATTATTATCATAGTGACCTCCTCAACTGAAATAACAGCTAGTTCAACAAACTATGAACCTGCTCCATCTTCTCCACGGAACCTCAATAGCTTCTCAACTACATCGAAGACTGTACAATTTCGGACATAGCCTGAAGTAGCCAGAACTTGTACACCTAACAATCATCTAATCTCAAACTGGCCAAAAAGGAATATAAATTCATACTGAAAAATGAATCTGATATTGCAACTGTGATACCTTGCTCTCCAAACGCGTTGAATGTTAAACAGAACAATACATTAACATCTGAGCTAGACTCCTCTGTCCACATCATAGTATCTTGATGTGCGCTATTTCCAGAGTGGACAGAGAAAATTAACTCTGTTGTGTAACATCTAAACTCTGCAATAAAGATAAATTGTTAACTTTCATAGTCTTGTACTTAATATGGGTATCTTTGTAAAACTACCAAATGTTTTTTCTGTGTAAATGAACCTTTTTAAATATAGGGAGACAAGGTTGAGTGTTACTTCTACAATATGGCGGACGTGTGAGAGGATAGTAGTGCCTGTGTTTCTATTATGCAAATGATTCTGGACTGTTCTTTGACCAACTGATTTGCATGATACAATATTGTCCATCAAACAAGTCCACCTTGAACAAAAGTTTATTAGGATAACGACTTCTCGGAACTGAGATGATATGAACATCCAGAGTGGAGTATCCACCTATCCCTGAAACCAACGGACTCGTCAATAACTGATAAGACAAAATTCTCCTTCATCCTCAGCTATAATTCTGTCTGTCTTCAACCTAAAGCAATCACACCTGCTATGTCTAACACATTTGTAAAAAGTTACAAGGGATTGGAGATGGCCAATGGTAGGATATACATATGGCTTGAAGGATCCGTTCTTATACGTTTTACAGGGATGTTACATAAGTTTTCGTTTTGAAGTTTCACAGCGTGGCCACAAACATTGGCATCGGTCCCGTGGCAGTGCCTCATAAACAGGATATTGAGCCATTAAGCCATGAATACTAATTGTTATGTGTCTAATAAAGAAAAAGTGCATAAGCTATACGTACATAGATGTTCACAGAAATGCAAATGCATGTAATCATATTTCTAACAATATGTCGAAGTGAAATTGCATAAGCTAAATTTTTATACTTTTCTAAACTTCAATAGAAGCCACTTGATGGAGAATTAAACTCCATCAGTCCATCTATTTGCGGTGGAATACTCCTTCAAAGACCTAAATGATGCAATCATGTAATTCATGAGACTACTTTAATATTTTTTTTGTCAACTTTGAAGCAATGAACAGAAAACTCAGCAAGGATTTGAATCTCGATTGTCAACTCTCATGGTAAAGAAATTTTCCATGAAAAAAAAAACTAATTTTTTTCAAGGAAAAGATGAGGGGTACCCTTGGAAACGGAGCTGATCCTCTGGGACGCTGTCGATGAGATTGATCTGATCGTAGAGAGAAAAGGTGCGCCTGATGATCACAAAAAAGGAATCAAATTTTGAAATAAATAGAGCAATTTTCAGACCAATTAGTTGAAATTAAAGAATTATAAGTAATTACTTTAAGAAAAACAAGGAAAAGGAACCTGAGAGAAGGTAGGGTTTGATGATTGAAAGGGGGTCTCGGGGATTCCTTTCGAAGGGTCTTCACGAGGTGAGGGAGCAGCGAAGAAGCTGCCCTCTGTCTTCCACCGCCTCCCACCATTGCGCTCTCTCTCTCTCTCTCTCTCTCTCTCTCCCTCCTTCCTTTCCTACTGAACAAAATGGAGCTTGAAGGATCCGTAACGGATCCTGTGGGATCCGACCCGAATCCAACTGTGAACAGAAGCAGGAGCCGGGCTCCAATGGCATAACAGCAAATAACACTTAAGTTGAAGCCTCCTCGTTAGTAGAAATATACGGGTTTTTTTTTCATTAGTCCCTTGCATCTTCAATAATTGCATATTAGTCTCTCGAATCCTATTTATAGGGTCTTCGAAACTGGTCCATACGGTTAAATCACACTAGATTTTTTTTTCTTTTGGGGTTATCCCATCAAATCTAATGATAATGCTCCTCAACCCATTTTCATAATAGGTTTAAATCCAATACCACTTAAAATAAATCCAAGTTCACATTAAGTTTTACTTCTTTAATGTTCAGCTAAAAACTTAACCCAAAGTTAAGCATCGCAAAGGGCCTGAACACTGGATAAAGAGGTAGCTTGGTGATTGCAGATTTTAAGTTAGGAGTTAACCCAATCATGATTAGGTTTTCTAGTTGAAATGCTAATAGAGCGATCATTTTGCAAGACCACATAAGATTTGAGGGATTAATATGCAATATTCAATATCTGAGGATGCAGATTTTGGGAATTTATATATAATTTACAAGATTTGAGGAACTGAAATGCAATTAAAGTTTTAGGGGACTAATATCTTTATAAAAAAAAGCCCAAAAAAACGCTTTGTATTTTTTTTTCCCGACCAGCGAGCACGAATAGAAATTTAATGGCGCGATGGCGAGCGGCGAGCAGTCGCGAAGCAATAAAGAAGGGGAGCCGCGAAGGGACGGTTGCAGATGCAGATCTGCCAAATCCGTCCGTCGCACCTCCAACCTCCTCCACCTGCATGCATGATTCCTCCCCTTCTCCAGGTCCTTTTCCCGACTCCACTTCCTTTGTTTGTAAGATTGATATTTTCATGTGAAATTGCTGCCTTATTTGCTTCATGAAATCTTGGTATACCGTAATTGTAGTAGTTGAATGAAAAGAGAATACCAAACTTGAGGAAGTTATTTGGAACAGGGTCTGTTTAACCCATTGTGTCCCAAGTAAACCTGTGATCCCTGCCGATGAGGTTTTAGGCAAATACGATAGATGCAACATATATATATATAATATATACATAATAAATAATATTATTATATATATATACGTATATATTCATGAGTAAATATGGGTATTGCTTGGTACCTAAGCACAAATTTTATGTTTGGTAATGAGAGTGGCACAATCCCCTTCCCACTCCATTCAACATGGGGACCACAACAATTTGCACCTGATGGGGTTTGAGAAGTGCATGCGGGAGTATGCAACCATTTGAATGAGTGGAGGGGATTATAACCACCCTCACTAACGCAAGGCATAAATTTTTGTGCTTGGTACCAAAGCATACTCATTTCCTCTCCTTCATCCTCTCTCATCACTCTCTCTCACTCCTATATATACTATTATATATATATAATACGTCATATATATATAATATATATATATATATATATACTATGAACGAGTAAGAAAATGGAAGAACGCTTGTAGCCAGTTCGCTTAATCACTTGGTATGACATCGGCAATAATCCTTTGCCCCGCTACATCACCACTGCGAAGATAGATCGCCCGTCAACCACCCTTCAAACAACTTCAATGTAGATACTTAGACAAGATTATGGCCAGCATGCACTACCAAATCTATTTGGAGGCAAACTGGTACGCAAGTTTCTCCATTTCTCATTCTCTCGTCTCTCTGAAGTCTCTCCTCTCTCTCTCTCTCTCTTATTATATATATATATATACTACGTATATACATCAATATATCATATAATATAATATATATATAAAGTATATATACCTATATAATTATATATATATTATCGGCATGTAGTATGAATTAAATAGTGACATTTAGTGTGTCCTCCCAAAACACATGTTCATATAGAAGGCTAAATCCATAACTTCCATAATAACTCGTCCGAACTCTTTTTCGTAGTGGAAAAACAAAAAAATTGCTGAAGAAGTTAACAGTAACAAGTGGCTAAAAACTCTGCGCGAAGTGGGTTATTTAAATAATTCAAGGACCAACTCAAAGGAATAGTAACCGCCTCTCGTCCCTTGGTAAAATCAAAGTTTGAGTTGTAAGTGCTAAAGGTGTCTTCCTGGCACAGTAT